AGAGAGAGAGAGAGAGAGAGAGAGAGAGAGAGAGAGAGAGAGAGAGAGAGAGAGAGAGAGAGAGAGAGAGAGAGGATGGGCATTTACTGATGTCCAAACAATAGTACGGCTGTGTGCTGATGTATCAGTATATGTAGACAATTACTTGATGCATGATAGTTAACTGATCGTGGCGAAAAGAAAGTAGTAGTTGATAGTCCCTTTTCAACTGTAGATTGGGTGGTGGGCAGTCTTATAGCGTACTGGGGGACTGAAGGGGGGTGGTCATTTGAATTGGGGGGGGGKGGGAAGGAAGGGTGCTCTAATCGTGTGCGAGATTCGTATCTGGGCGATGGAGAGGTGGTGCTCCTCCCGCATATATGGCGAGAAGGTATTTGTCATCTTAAGATGTTTTTTTTTTTTTTTTTTTTCCACTCAGCTTTGTAGTCTGAAACGGCCACGTTTTCTTGAAATATTCAGCGCGAGCTCTGCTTGAAATGTTCCCGCCAGCCTTTTCGCTTCGCCGCTCCCCCTCCTCCCTTTCCTCCCCCTACCTTCTGTCGACACCTGTGCGGACATCTCATATTCGAGGGCAGGGAGGATATGAAGGGGGAGGGGGATCACCTCCCATCCTATCTTTCCTTCGTCATGGCTATTTTCATTCGCTTTCCCATCGTGTGGCCCTTTCCTCTCCATCGTGTGTCCCTTTCCCGTCCATCGTGTGCCCCTTTCCCGTCCATCGTGTGCCCCTTTCCCGTCCATCGAGTGCCCCTTTTCCGTATTCTTAGCGTCTCTCTGCTCTGTGTTCTGTGCGTACGGTTAGGGAGAAGGGAGGGGGAGGAGGTTGCACCTCCTGATTAGGTAAGTGGAGAAGCTACAATCATGTAGAAACAGTTTTCCTAACGGAGTTGGCGTGGAGCTGTTTCTGTTTTCGTTAATTTTGCATTTTTTTTGGTGGTTTTAACTTTTAAGATCTCGAATTGTTGTTGACAATTCTGTGTGCTTCTGTTTGCCTTATTGATCTCTTCTGATTGAGAATGTCATCGTCATTATTCATTGCTCCTCGCCAACCTTTGCTTGACCTATCCTTTCCTCGTTTTCGAATTGTCCTTCTCTTTTGGATTGTGCGACTTCAGCGGAGTTCTTTGCTGACCGGACGGATGTGCAGTGCCTTCATCGGTGGCAGAAGGTTCTTAATCCGGATCTCGTCAAAGGGCCGTGGACTAAAGAAGTAGGTTGCTTTTAATTTGGTTGATTCCCGCCCCCCTTTCCTCCTGATTTCCTAAAGAAGTAGGTTGCTTTTGGTTTGGTTCTTAATCCGGATCTCGTCAAACGGCCGTGGACTAAAGGTCCTTCTGGAGATCTTTTTTCATCAAGGATCTGCCCTGATTATCTTAGGCATTCCTCGCCGTTTAAGGAGGATGTACCCTGACCACCTACCTCCCTACACTTTTTTTTTTTTTAATCGAACAGCACCTCCGATTTTGACTTTGGCTCGATTCGTCTCTATCTCTTCTTCTTTTTTTTTTTTTTTTCGTTTTTTTTCTCTCTTGTCTTCCCTGAAACACGTGATGGCAATCCCTCCTAGTGTGGGTGGGGTGGGTTCTTCTCGCTTCATCCAGAGCTATGGTGGTATTTGTGTCGACCAACTCCTGCTGGGCCTGTGGCTCTCTCTACTTCTTAAAATTCCAGCGCTCTGACTGTACCTTTTCCACTTTTTTCTCTACCCTACACTACTCCTTTGGGCTGAAACTTGCCTGCCATCTGCTGTGCTCTTGGTGATCGAGTTTGATAGGCAATGAAATCTGCTGATTGTCATCTCTTCTCTTTCGGCTTCTGGTATTGGTTCCGTCCATTGTCTTGTCGTTTCCCCCCCCCCCCCCCCCCCCCCCCCCCCCTAGTCTCTTTGCGTCCATTGTCTTGTCCATTTCCTGTGTATGCTGCCAATTATACCTGCAAATCTCCGGAGTTTGCCTTTGCCTTGCAGTTGCGCAATGAATGATTGCTCCCTTATTTTTGCGCCCCCAACTACTAGTATGTAGTTTCTGTTTTTTTTTTTGGAGCGAAATCCTTAGTTGATGTCGAAAAACCGACGATTTCGCTGTGACGAATCGACTAGAGTAGTGGTTGAGCACTCAACAACTCTGCAATTCTCAGGCGGCGAGCTGTGCAAGAAAGGAGGGGTTTTTTCCCATTAGATTGGAATCGTTCGTGCTGGTTTCGGGACCCTGTTTGTGGGTGTTCAGGACCCGTTTATGCGGGTCGAGGGTTCAATTCCTCTTGGGGGTGTCACATTTTTGCGCCATCCCCTCCATAGCTGAGGGGTCCTTGGTGTTCATGCATGCAAGGAATGTTCTGTGCATTATCACCGGCAGCGAGTGGTATTTGATTACATTAGCGAGAGGTTTCTTCGTCTTGCCCTCATCTGTGGGTTGCCCAAGTCAAGACGAAGGGGCGTTTTCTGGCGAACCAGACGTAATTAGGTGAAGAAATGAAGCATTCCCAGGACTTGATTTGACATTGGTTTGGCGGGCGGGTTGGGAGGGGACTGGTTCCTGAGAATGAATGGTAGTGGATTGATGACATGAGTGTAAGAGGGTAAACGTGTGTTGGTACGGCGGTGGAGTGGACCAGCCCAGCGCGGACAGCGAGAGACAAAAAGCTCTCTCCCTCCCATCCCATCCATGCCATGATGGGATGGGAGCTGGACTTCGTCGTCGACAGGAATTCTGTTTTGTTTCTTTGTGCAGTTGGAAATTGCGGCTGCTGCTAACGCTAAGTCGTCCATCGGCAGGGTTTGAGAGAGCAGCGTGATGACTGGAAAACAACTTGTCGTGGCATATTTTTTCTGTTGTGCCGTGAAAAAGTCCGTGAAAAAGTTCGTTTACTAGTATATATTTGTCACAACGAGTGGCCGGAGCTGCGTGGCTGAGCTCAGGTAGTTTTTATTTGATAGATAGGGTGCTCGTTTCGTCTTTCTTTCTTTCTTTCTTTCTTTCTTTCCGTCTTTCTGTCTGTTTCTCTCCACGCTATCCGTTGTGCAGACATGTGTGCTGTGGGTGTTGTCGTAACGGATAGGAAATTTCATCGCTTTTCATCGCCCCCACCCGGCCCGCCCCCTTCAACGACGCCCTTCTGCACTTCTTTCCCCTTCTCTATCTCTATCATCCCTTTTTTCTTGTTTTTTTCATGTTTTATGGACTGTCTATAACATCGTTTCCTTTCTCCCTTTGCCGTTCTTCTTCTCCTTCGCCGTGTTCCTGTCCTTATCGCTCGACTACTGAGTTGCTCAGAGTAATTGTGCGTTCGGGCTGTGTACACATGTCTCCATAGTTTGTTGTCTGGTGTCGTCTTTTGGTTCCGTTTTCGATATGTTTAGTTGCACCCTTCCCCGTACATGCCTTTTGCGCACGCGTGGCACTACTGCACTCTACCTCTCGCTGTGCGCACTCGTGCTCCGTTCTCCGTCGTTACTCGAATGATTTCCCTTCTCCTCCTACTGTCCCCGTCCCCTTCCTGCCTCCGTTGTATCTTCCATAGCCGGTGGGCGGTGGTCATTGCGTTATGACTTTGACGAGCTTGGTGTGCTCGTCCTGCCGCCGTGTAAGGTGGTGATGACGATGGGTAGGAGAGGTGCCGAGTGCGCTGAATACGGCCTTCGTGCGTCGGTTAGCTGGTTGTTCTCGCGGTCTCCGCCGCCATCACCAGACTACGGTAGCACTCGCTTGGCGTTTGTATTCAAATCTGTGGCTGACGTTCAGTGCTAACGGCCCAGATGCCAACCTTCCGCCGCTCGACGGCCTCTCATTGGTTGGAGGGGATGTTGAGTGCGCGGGGTTGTAAACGGCACCGACCGGTGCACAGAACCCCCCATGGAGTTGATTGCATGCGGCTGCGGGAGAAGTTGGTCGCCGATGTGGTTGGGCACCGCCTCCTCCGTTTGCGCGCATTCGGGCGGGAGGGCGCGCGTTTCGCGGTTAGCGCCAAACGGCCCGCGAGAAGGCGTCCGTTGTAGTGCGGGAATTGAATCCGTGGTTGGGGACGCCTGGCGCCGACAGTAGCGGGACACGCGCGCCGCGTTCGGATTAATTGTTTTCGGAGTCGGCGACCATCGCCAAATTTCGCAGGTCGGTCGGTCGGTCGGTCGGTCCGTCAGTGTCCTCTCAACGGCCTCCGCCTAAACGGCCGACCGCGAGAGGGCCTTGAACCGGCGGGTCCTTCCAGAAGAACTTGGTGCCCAACGGCCAGTAGTTTCAAAGCAGGCGTCGACATTGGATGCCACACGGCGGGCAAGATGGCCTTTTCCGCCGCACACGTTTTGTATTTGCGGGTGCCACACGGCGGGGACAAGTTGGTAGACGTTTTTTATATGAATGAAGGACGGAATATTCGTTGGAGGATTGTGCCTAAGGGCTTCATCCAGGCACTTTCTGTCCAAGCCGGTGTTTCTCTGAGGGAGGCTGGGCCCCACATAACCATCGTGTGGTTGCATGTGCTGTTCACGTAGGTATACACTCCCGACCCTCCAGTTCCATCCCTCAGTGAAGGCCCTGGTCACACAGGACGAGACAAAACTCGGCATGCTCTGACGTCACACACTGCATGGTGATGCGATTTTACTGCATGCTACGTCAGGCTGCACGCTACTCGGCTTGAGTGCTGCACTAAATGCCATTGCATGGTGCCTCCTAAGGAGGCAAATGCTACAAGTCATGCCGTTTGCCTCCCAAAGGGTCTAGTCTTCCCGGCCTGGGGCCCCTCGCCCCCCACCTTGAGTAGTGGTAGATGATAAAGATGACCTTCAGCAAATGAAGCGCTTTCTGGAAGTGGGGACTAGGACTTCAAAAGGAAAAAGCAAAAAGTATATGTGCAAAAATGCATGAAGTAAAAAAATGTGCAAAAATGCAGGAAGCTCTTGGATGTGAAGATGCCCAAGTGCATGAAAAAGCCCAGGTGCATTGTGACCGCCTCACTTTTTCTTTTCAAACATAAAGGGGTCATTCATTTGTGTCCTTCACCATTTTTCAACCTGGGAATTGGTTGCATTGGATAATATCACTCTGCAAGCCATTTATGCCCCTCGCCGTATGCGACTCCATTCCATGCTACTCTGCACTGCATGCTATTACAGAGAGCACATACCACAGCACATGTTGTTATTTGTTTGTTGCAATGGACTAGGCATGCCACATGTGGTGGCTTTATGGGCCTCAAGGAATGGCCTAAGTTCTGGCTGCTCATGATGACGTCCCACGTGAACTTGACACGAGTCTGAATCAGGTTTAATGCCTGGGCGTTCTGGATTTGGTGTTATCCTGTCCATTTATGATATGACCATATAGAGAGGTCAGTGAACTCAGGGCCCATCCCATTGTGTATTCCTCCACTAACTTGGCATGGGTGTGGATAATGAAAACACTAGTTCGCCCAAAGCCAAGTCGCGCTTCCACCGGTTTACGCGGGAAGGCTGTGGCACATCTGGAAATGGCCGGCAGTGAATGCGGAAGGCCACTAAGGAAAAAAAAAAGGTTTCTTGCTTGGTAGTTGGACTTGGCAACTGAGTGCATCAATTGTCTATCGCTCGCTCTCTGCCCCTCTCCATGCTTTCCATCATGTTCCCTCTCGCACAGTCTTCGGGAGAGGGCTGTTTGTACTGCTGCTGGCGTGCCATTGAGGAGGTTTTTGGCTATATTCTACCAATGAGGGCAGCAGCAGAGTCCGCCTCCCAGCATTACTTTCTGAAGGGAACTGGACGAGGTTTTTTCTTTCTCTGCCTCTGCTTGATTCCTTCTCCAAGCGCCGGAGTCATCAGTACGGTGGTTAGGTTACGGGGAAGTAGTGCCTGTCTTATGCGATCTTCTCATGACCTGCTTTCTCAATGGGTGCAGCACTGACCTTGTTGCTGCAGGGAGTGAAGCTCTGGAAAACTGTCAGCCCATGAGCAAACCTTGACTTTTGGTCAATCCTGAGGAAAGCTTGGTTTGTTACCCTTCGATACTATATTGCCTCGATTTCTTTGGCTAAGCTAGAGAAAAGTCCCTTTTTAAAATACGTAGTCTCCAAAGAATGCCAACTCATTCCTCCAGCGGACGTACAATGCTGGCTTTCAAAAGGATGCCTGCAAGCAAAGTCAACCGACCAGAAGTTCCTTAGGCTCATCGGCTGAGGAGAGCTTCCATCACTTGCCGTGTTTGCTACCAAAACCCATGGTCGCCACGGCATGGAGAAAGT